ACACTCCCAGGACAGGGACAGCACGGGGTTAGATACAGAGTAAAGCTTCCTCTACTCTTTTAAACAAAAATTTTTTAAGAAGTGTTAAACAGCCCCTCCTGGGGCACTGTATCAAACAGCACAAATTACTGTCGAACAGAAACTTGTATAATGAAACTGAAACTTGCTAAATTAAAGCAGTACTGTCCATGCTGATGTTGCATTCCAGTCTCCTCTGATGCCCACCGATCTCTCAAGATTTGGACTGTGCCTGTGAGCACTGTGTGCTCCTGAGTGCAGACATAAACATGAAAGAGAGGCAGACGCTCAGATACAATGGCCCATTCCACGACCCAATGCTGGGGCCTGTTTCTCTGCTGTACGTCTGTAAGAGTTAGGTTTGACTTGAGTAACAAAACGTTGGCTCCTCTCACGGTTAATATCAGCACATCCCTGACCTCTCATGGAGTCATAGAGATGTACAGCACGGAAACAGACCTTTCAGTCCAACTTGTCCATGCTGACCACACATCCTAAACTAATCTAGTCCCAGTTGCCATCATTTGGCCCATATTCCTCTAAACCCTTCCTATTCATGTACCCATCCAAATGCCTTTTAAATGTTGTAATTGTACCAGCCTCCACCGCTTCCTCTGGCAGCTCATTCCACACACGCACCACCCTCTGTGTGAAAAAAACTACCCCTCAGGTCCCTTTTAAATCTTTCCCCTCTCACCTTAAACCTATGCCCCTCTAGTTTTGGACTCCCCTACCCTGGGGAAAAGACCTTAGCTATTCATCATATCCATGCCCCTCATGAATTTGTAAACCTCGAAAGGGTCACCCCCTCAGCCTCTGACGCTCCAGGGAAAATAGCCCCAGGCTATTCAGCCTCTCCCTTTAGCTCAAACTCTCCAACATCCTTGTAAATCTCTTCTGAACCCTTTCAAGTTTCATAACATCTTTCCTACAGCAGGGAGACCGGAACTGCATGCATTTTTCCCAAAAGTGGCCTAACCAATGTCCTGTACAGCCGCAACATACTCAACGCACTGACCAATAAAGGTCCTCTCTTTCCCAAAAACCATCAACCCCCAAACTCACCCAAAACCCTGCTGCCCTCGCCCCTTCAACCTGCCCCGAGTTCTGACTATTCTTGGCTCTTGTTCAGGTGATGTCTCAGTTTTGTCAGCACCCCATCTCCTCCCAGAACCCCCTTTGGGGAGACCGTGCGGTAAGACAGAGAGCTGACCAGACGCCTCTCCCACCCAAGCTCCGACAGTGGGGGGGCTACCGTCGTGAGCCCCTTCCTTCGCTAAGCTCCTTCTAAAGCCTCCTGGGATGTCTGTCCCCACTGCAGATGTGAAGCTCGGACACAGCAGGAGGGTGCATTGGGTTGGGAAAGGGGGGAGAGATATAAATGAGTGCCCACCCACCCTGATCCCACGGAGGGTAGAGCTGGCGCAGGCTCGACGTACCAGAGATAGTGTCCGTGATCAAGATCGGCAAGGAGTGAGCTGATCCTTCGTCCACTGTCTCGGTATTCCACGTCTCCAGGCGGGAACACAGCCTGTGGATCAGAAACTGTTGGTTAGGCCCAACACCGCAAAAACCCGACCAAGACACAGCCGGCAATGCCGCATCCAAGCTTGCTAGCTGAAGCTACGATGTGAGGCTGCGTCATTACAGGTGATGGTCACCCCAATGTCCAAAAGATTGGCCAAGTTGGGCTGGTCTGACACTAGCAACAAGCCCCCACCCTGGCCACCTAACTGGGAGATTTTCTGTCCAGTTCTGGTACGTTAGAGAGAGAAGCTCCCCCTACTTGTTTAAAATGTAAGTAAAGCTCCCTCTACACTGTCCCCCATCAAACACTCCCCAGGACAGGGACAGCACGGGGTTAGATACAGAGTAAAGCTCCCTCTATACTGTCCCCATCAAACACTCCCAGGGCAGAGACAGCACAGGGTTAGATACAGAGTAAAGCTCCCTCTACACTGTCCCCCCATCAAACACTCCCAGGACAGGGACAGCACAGGGTTAGATATAGAGTAAAGCTCCCTCTACACTGTCCCCCCATCAAATACTCCCAGGACAGGGACAGCAGTGGGTTGGATAGAAATAATGGTTCCTGCCATTGCGTTGATGTGACAACCTCATTGCCAATGACATGCATCAACAGATTTCAGCGTGTCATCGACTTTAGCCCAACGCTGCTCCTACCCTTCAGGTTCTCCTCCTGCAGTTTTCCCACTTCATTCCCAATGGTTTGCCCACAGAGAATTCCCACCTTCCGTCAGCCGTGACTTCCCAGGGTTTGGTTGAGTGGTTTCCCCAGATGCGTCCTGGTCTCCTCTCTCCTTTCCCGCCGTCTTCCCCGTCGGAATTTTCAGAGCCCCAGGCCGGACCACGGTTCCAAGCCCCATTGAGCTGGTTGGGAATCACTGCAGGAGAATGAGGGAAAGGGGAATATTAACAGCGGAACGGGAGAGCGAGAGACGTTGTGGCAGGGGGCAGTGAATGGGGGGAGAGACGAATGGGAGAGGCAGGAGCGAGTGCTTCAGAGCAACAGATGGCGAGAGGGAGAGAGAGCCGAGCGGAGGTCGCGCAAGTGAGAGGGTTGAGGAGACACAGCTGTCATTCTGTTCCGAACCCTGGGATTTGCTCTGAGCATAACTTACACTGAATCGCCCTCAGCCGAGGTACAAACGGTGAGATGTTTGGCGAGCTGGAGTCTACTTCGAGAAAATCCTTCTTCTTGTTAAGAACAGGAGAGGCCTGGACTGTGAGCTTGTGTTGGAAATCTGTTTGGGGGAAAATCACCAGACGTTCGGTCAGGATCCACAAAGGGCTGTGTATTAAACCGTCTGCTTCACAGAGAGGCACGAATATGGCGGAGGCGGGGGGGAGCCCTTACCTCAATACGAGAAACTGTCTCTGTCCACTGCACCAGAATAAACCAGGAACAAGTCGATCGCCTGACCTACCCTCTGGAATGCTGATTGATTACCCAACCAGTGGGTACTGACCGATGGGATGATGCCCGTGGGTTGGCACTGACCTATTCTGCTGTTGGGCACTAACCAATGCCCATGGTTACACACTGACCGATACGGTAGTGGGCTGTGGTCTGGCACTGACTGATGCCCTCAGTTTGACACTGACCAATGTTCATGGCTTGGCACTGAGTAATACTCATGGTTTGGCACTGACCGATACACACCGTTGGGCACTGACCGATACACACAGTTGGGCACTGACCGATACACACCGTTTGACACTGACCGATACACAC